TATTTAACAATCGTGTTCCATCAACTCAAGTTCGAGTGTTGGTGACTTGACAGACTAAAGAAAAATATGATGTGCAGTGAAACAGATATGAGTGGTATTGATCTTCTTGTCTATTGAATTGAGAAACCAAATAGGTTTATTTTCCAAATTGTCAGGTTATTCCTTTAATATCTGCTGCAGCTGTCGTCCATTATACTTGTCTCTTGTGCCTGATGCTAAAAAGGCTCGTTGCATGGAAGTTATAAACTTAGTTAACTGGAGTTTCCAAGTTCAGTTGTTTTAATATCCATCTACACTGCTGATCCTGAAGAGGGTCGTTGGGCGGCTGAAGCCAGTCCCAGCTGTCACTGGGTGAGAGGCGGGATACACCCTGGACAGGTCACCAGTCTATCAAAGGGCTGACACATAGACACCCATACTCACACTCACGTGCAGTTTAGATTCGCCAGCCTAAGCTCCATGTCTTTGGACTGTGGGAGGAAGCCGGAGTACCTGGAGAAAACCCATGCAGGCACAGGGAGAGCAGGCACAGGGAGAACAAGCAAAGTCCACACAGAAAGGCCCCGGGTTGGCCGGGTTTCGAACCCAGAACCTTCTTACTGCGAGGAAACAGTGCTAACCACTATTTCACCATGCTGCCCGTTGTTTTAATATATAATTTTAGTAATTTCTAAATCAGTATTCAGAATATGAATTATTCAAATCTCTAAACGTACCTGTGCTGATGAACCTTTAATGTATTAAAGTAAAAAATTTATGAATGAAAAGATTTTCGTGTGTGTATTTAGTTCATTGATTTCAGCAACAAAAAGTTATGAAGACAGGTCTCACTAAAGCTTCAGAAGTTTCTGCATCCTTACATGCAATTAATTATTATAATTATTGACTGACCTTTTCACGCTAAGCATAATTGCTGATGTAGAAAAATGAAGACGACACAGCAGTGCATCACTCCCCACTAATTGATTTGGCTGCTGCACTCATGATCTTTTCACTGTGATCAGCACTGTGACAATTTTTGATATGAGTAGTTTTCAAAAGCGATTTGTAAATTTGAATTGACGATGATACCACCCAGGTGGACTGTTTAGGAGTCGTCTAAATCTTCCCTGAGCACCACATACAGTACTGCCCCTGTCTGGCTGTAGGAAGCAGTGTCATCTATGGGAGAGCTCATTCCAGGTCACCCACTCTCTGTGGGCGAGAGAGCGAGAGAGGGATGGGAGTGTGAGCGGGAGGGAGACGAAGTAAAAAGACAGACTAGAGAGAGAATATCTATAACTCAGTAAATGCCAGCTATCACATCGTTCTGTTCCAAAATAGAGAGCCTTGAATAAATTTCAGTTTATTTTGATGCCATTTATTGACGAAGTGATTCATTTCCTGAGCCAATATAAAACCATGTATGCACTGTCTTTGCTATGGCAGTGCCTCCGTCTGAGGAAAAAAAAAAAAAGAACAAGACTGAAAATCATTGTATAGAAAGAAATTTGTCTTGCAAGCTTGCCTCTCCTCTGAGCTCATCACACAGTTATTAGGCTGAATGCAGCCCACCTACTTTCTTTACCAACCAGCTTACTTCCAGTTGCATAGAAACATTACAAGTGAATCATACTTTTGTGGATTTCTATTGTGTTGCCTGCCAATCAAAGTCCTGATGATTGTCAGAAGAGCCCCGGTATGAAGATGCCAATGCATTTGAAAACCGTCAGTGCTACCAGAGCTAATGTAGGCAACTGTGTGTTAGAGTGTGACCAGTTAATTTGGATTAAGGACTTGGTGTGACTGCTTCAAAATGTAAAAAAACCAAAAATGCTTTTTCTTAAAAACACAAATTGATAGTAAAAACACAACCCAGATTGTGCCATCAAGTCTTGTCATGGAAACTTTTTTTTTTTTTTTTATGAAAAAAGGTTTTTAAGTGAAGTTGACAGTTACTGGGTTTCTCTTAGCTATGCAGCTAATTAGCAGGGTGTGTTTGAAAAGAGCTCCATATTAGTTGCACTGGCAGAGCTGGTTGCAGCCAGGCTGCGTGTGCTGGGTGGGTGTGATCAGTGGGGCTGGCTTCATGTACGGTAGCAGTTAGCACATACTCTATGTCTGTGAATGGGGGCTTATGCTCAGTTCTACGCCAGATACATATATAAACCATATGTATCTGGACTGAAGGACCTGAGGTAACTGCACCTCTGCCATTAAAGTGGGGACACGCTGAAAAATTGAGTTACCATGGATACAAAAATTGCCCCCATTTCTTTGTTGGCACAGGCCCATTGTAATTGTTTTTTTTTTTCCTGTAATTTGTATCTATTTATTCATTTGTGTATCAGTTCATTTGTGGACTTGCTTTAATTGTTTTGCTTTGTTTCCTGATTTCTTCTATTGGAGTATTGGGCTTTGACTATTATCCAGACGACATTAGTGGAATGAGCTTTTGTCTTCAGTAATTATATAGAGTAATACCAAAATAGTTAGCACACTGTTGACACGCTACACAGTGATAATGGTCTCCCCTGTCTTTTTCACATATTTTATCATCACACACTGATATGAGCTATTAGCAACAGCCTTGTGAAATGTAATCAGACAGCAGAAATGAAAAGGTAAAGGCAGCTGGTTCATTGAGGTGTTTGGACGCTTGGAGTCAGATCTGAACCAAGTGTCCGCATCTGTGTGTATCCAGTGTCATCTCTGCCACACGACATGCCTGGGTAACTTCTGTTCACTGTGTTGCTGGTCCATGAAAGATACATGACGACTGGGCCCAGTGGTTATAAATCCAGTAAAATAACAGGGACACGTTCAGAAAATTCCAAGACTGTGGACTCCCCCCCCTGCTGTCTAAATACCTACAACTGTCTAAAGACACAGCAGAGCTGACTCACTATACAACCCAAGTGTTGGGCTTGTATGCACCAGATAAATGCATACAGAGAGAGAGAGAGAGAGAGAGAGAGATATCTATGTGTAGGCAGAGTCCTGTAAAAAGGTCATGTCCCAGAAATGACTACAGGGACATCTGCAGGCATGCATACCCTTGAATGAGATTATAGTTAAAGAAAAGGACAGCTTTTATGAGCTTATTTATGGTGGCCCGGAAGAATGTATGACTTTATTTCCTTGGCAACAGCTTAAAGCTTAAATATAGAATATGACAAGCTTGGCGATACTCAGCTGGGGCTAACTTTTAGATAACAGACTGAAAATAAAACCCACCGTTAAGGGTATCCCGCAGCATCCTTTACAGCACCTAAAAGGTTGTCCTGGCTGTCCGGCCTATCCCAACATAATGCCTCTAATGGGCAAATAGCAGAAGGACAAGATGGTGGGAGGGATGGTATGAAAGAAAACCAGAGCTTTTATATTTGGAACCCCAGGAATTTTTCCTCAAAGGAAAAGTGGACCATCAAGCACGTTTTGTGCCGTGTTTCTTCCTCTCTTTTATGTCCATGTTAGGCATTCATCTTTTTTTCTTTTATTCAGAGGCTCGGAGGCTCAGGCTGTGACAGTGGAGGACAGAGGACCTCAACAGGTGGAAATGTTTATTCTTGGCATGAAGGAGGAAGAGGAGGGTATAGTGAAGTGTTCCTCAGTTATAAGCCTTCTGATCCACTTGTGCTGCACTGTGTTTTTACCTCAAAGTGTAACTCGGCTTCTGACAGCCAGTCCTAGTAGAGCCATGCCTGCTATGACCCCATGCAGTATCTACACCATCTGTCTGCAATGGGACTCCAAGGCAACACTCAGAGGGAATGTAGAGAGAGGGATGGAGGGAGAGGGGGAAGTTTTGTCAGCGCTCCCCGAGGACCCCCTGTGCTGCAGTGTTGATCTGCTAATTATGTTTAATTGAGGCTGTGTAATTCACTAGCGTTGCCTCTGTTTTTCCTTTATCTGCCCCGTAGGTTTTAACAAACTCCGCCGCTGACGAGGAAACATGACACATTATCAGCAATAAACGCTGCGGTGCAGTGATTTTGAAGGGATCGGGATTTTAATTTTGAAGAAGTTGGGTGTGTGCGTGGGGACCATTGGATTGGGTTACAGCACTTAAGCGGATATTGAAATATTTTATCTGTGCCCATGCAGCGGATGCTCTGAGGAGTGAAGGCGCGACGCAGCGACTTGTTTGACGCCGAGACAGTCGTCACAGACACGCGCGCGCACACACATGCACAAACGCGCACACGCGGTTTCGTTTGGCGAGATGGCACCAGGTGATGCCATAAACGACAAATGATGTGTGCCATGGCTCTCTCGTGTCTTCGTTTTTCTGGAGAAGACGCCAGGAAAAGCGACACGGAGAGGCAGAAAAAACACGATGGAGAGCGAGGTCAGTTTTAACTGGCTGTGAAGTTGGAGTCGCTTTTTTTTGGGAGACTAAACATGGCGAAATGTCCTTAACGCGCGCCTTCTTAATGTGTCAAATATATTTTTGATATTTGAATATGAGCAGATGAAGTCATCCAAGTCTGCACTCCCCCACCACTACCCCTCAGTCCCGCAGCACCACCACGCCACCCTTCTCTCATTCGGGCCCGGTGCTTATATGTTTAATTAACTAGGCTGATGTGTGAGTACCTTCAGCCAGCGAAGCGTAGGCGGGCGGGCTGAGGGGTAAAGAGACAGCCGGAGAATAATTCCTCCTTTCTCTTGCTCGGTCAGCTACCGGAGCATCACTCCTGTCGTACGGCGTAGGAAGCTACAAAAATAACTCGACCCGTTTAAACTTGTTCCCAATTGTTTTGGGGGGTGATTTTTCTGGAGTGCGGCTCCCGTTCGGAGAGCGCGTGAGGGAGAAGCAGAAAGAGAGGGTGAGTGAGAAAAGAGCGAGAGAGAGGGAGTGTGTGAATATATGCGTGTGTGTTTTGATGTTATTTGTGACGGAATCCCCCTTCAGTCTCCAAGAATCGGCGCGAGGAGAAGGAGAGGAGGAGGAGGAGGAGGAGGCGGCGCGCGGACCTGTCCACGAGCCCTCACTGCGGAACGAGCGGGGCCTGCGGAACGCGCGGGGCTGCCGCTGGAGATTCTAAACCAACGGGTATTTTGGATTCTAACTGATCCCCGCACGTCAACGGCTGTTTTTCTCCTTACCCCCTTTTCCCCCCAGTTTGTCTCCGCCGTTGAATGGACGGTGTTTGACAGCTTAACCGAGAGGAATACGACCTATCCACCGGTGGGAGAGGTGGTGGTGGAGGGGGGAGGTCTTCAGAGGCAGACAGGTGGATTTATCTGTGTGGTGGTGGTGTTTTCGGGGAAACTAGATGGAGGAAAAATTGATGGATTAATTTGACGGAGGAGAGTCGTATGCGATTCCCACTCCGAGGGCGCCCGAATGGAGTAACAGGCTGCAATGTCATCTCCACCTGGCCGCCTGGAGAGATGTGTCACGGGAATGGGGTGAGTTAGCTTAATTAGTTTTGTTTTTTGTTTTTTTTTTGGCCTTAGCTTAACGCTCTCCTGTTGAGGGGGTGACTCGGAAATTGAGCAGCAGTTGTGCGGGTTTAGTGCTTTAATATCTGCCGCACACTCACTCTCTGCTCAAAGTGGAGCAGAGGCGGGGTGGTGGGGCGGTTGGTTTGTGTTCCTCTCTCCGCTCCTTCGTTCGTCCGAGTCCTCCACACACAACCTGCTGCATGCCCTAGATAGACGAGCCCGGTACCCGAGAGAGGCGCGTGAGGGGAATATTCACCAAGGAGCCACAGGCTGTTTTTACCGCTCCGTCTCCATCCGATACACACACTGTGCCAATTTGTCTTTCAATTTCTCACCGTTCTACCTTTTCGTCTATTCAACTTGTTTTCGTCACGCACTCTGCCCATCCAATAAGCTCCTTTCTCAGCATCTCACACACGCACACATTTGTGTTCGAAATACACCACAGATAAGGATACGCACAAACACATACGTAGGCTATAGGCATTTAGAATAAGCTGGTAGCCAATTGGATGCAACTGACTGTTAAAATGCTAATGAGTCATGAGGAATATAATGACATTGGGTAATAATGTTTATAGCTGGTGTGTGTGTGTGTGTGTGTGTGTGTGTGTGTGTGTATAGGCACCGGCCCGCCAACGCGCGTCCTTTTTATAGAACAGAGTCAAATTCAACAAGTCTGCGCTTTTGTGGCGCTGCAACACAATAAGCAACAGCATCTTGATTTGATTTTGATTTATTCTTTCAAGCATGTAAAGACAGTTGATATGTCAACACACACAATTTTACACATTCTATCTTTTTTATTTTCAGATCAAGTTTGAACACTTTTCCTCTGGTTTCACTGACGCTGTGAGAAAGAACCAAAATGCCAATAAATGGACAAGTCATGGTGGCTGCCCGCACTGGCCCTCGCACCACGGCAGTAAAGCTCATCATTCATCGCGTGGACTCCAAAGAAGAAGGCGCAAAAGCTCCGCAACCGCAAACCTGCAGCAGCCACGCTTTGTGACACCGAAGGTAAGGACCGCGGCTGGTTGGCGAACAGGGGACGGAGCGCCGTGCGACGCTGAGCGGCGCTGTTGCATCGCATTTTCCCCGGTCGCTGATGAGAAGCCTGTAATGAATTCATATCTCAAATTACAGTTTTCAGGCTTTTAATGCAGTCACGTTGGAGAAACACATTTTCTTCCGTTTTCCTCCCGTTTCCCGTGCCAAGTCTGACACACGAAGTGTCTTCTCCTCCCCGCATGGACGTAGGAACCATCACACGCACACACACAAACAGATGTTGCATGTATTTCTTTGGGGGGGGGATGAGACCATAAGTCTGACATCTGAGTAGGCTGTAGGAGTCTCACAAGACAGAATATATGGACTAGCTCTAGATCCCATAATCCCCCACTAGACTAAAAAAATGCTTCTGGTGGCAAAGGGATGGCTGTCATTTTTAATGCCAAATATGGTGTGTACTTTTGTCAAGCTCCTTAAAGGCAACCCTTCATTCATTCTATACCAGATTCACTGGCGACCTAGAGAACAGGGGAGAGAGACTGAAGATGTGCTCAGCAGTAGCCTATTTTCTTGAATAGTGGGCTGACACAAAAGGAGATCAACTCTGTAGGGCATGAATGCAATGGAGTGGGGAGCAGGGAGTGTCGGGAGCTGTTGCTGTCTTCATTAAAATAAATATCTTGAACAAGGCTGCAATGAATTCTGGGTGTGATGTCATCATACATTTTAACTTCACCAGTATTTTATACATGTAGAGTTTTGCAGGGACTGAATCAATAAAAGAAGGGGCACCAATCAGTACATCAGCTAATGAGCCTTTCCAGTATTATTATTATTAATAAATACATGTACCAAACTACACTGTAAACACTAAACCATTGTGAAGTTTTGACACATACTGATATTTTGTTTGTATTTTGATTTACTGGAGAGATGAATCAAGCCCAATAGGTCCTTTTAGTGTACAAGATGCATTTTATACAAATTTTCATTATCATTAATTAAAATAACATTTAAATTAATCCAAACTTGATGGCCGAATCGTTTTGCACCCTGGGAGCCGTAGATTAACTCACCTTGTTTTACAGAGAGACTGACTTTCGCTGCGTCTTTCTTCAGTTTCTCCTCAGCTTTTCACATCTCTGTGTGGCATCTTCACTCTCTGTTTCAGTGGTGGAAAAAGTAATGAAGTACATTTACACTACTGTTGCACTTAAGTACAATCTTAAGGCATGTGTAGTTTGAGTATTCCAATTTTCTGCTACTCTATATTTTAGCTTGACTACATTTCAGATGCAAATATTATACTTTTTACTGCGCTACATGTATAGCTTTAGTTACAGTATAATCCTAAAACTTTATTAATCCTTGTCACAAGCTACCCAGCAGTAATTCCCATGATAAACATATAAGGTAGTTAACATTGGCTCCACCTTTACTTTTAAATGTGATGTACACACTAATGCATCATTATGATATACATTAATATGAAATGTACACTTCTGCATTACTTGTGCTATTTCAAGTATATTTTTATGCAAATATATTTGTACTTAAAATCGTGAATGCTGACCTCTACTACTATTGCTACTTTTACTTAGGGGGTTGAGTACTTCTTCCACCACTGCCCTTTTTAAAATAGCTGCTTCCAAGACTTGACCGCTGAACTGAACCAAACCATTGTAAAAGTAGTTAGCCATGGTAATTCAGATTGCCTAGCTTGACTGACTGTCAGCACATTTTGATTTTAGGTTAACTAAGCATTTGGATGTAGGAATCAGTTACAGTGGAAGTGTTTCTGTCATTGTTGCATAGTGTTACTTACACATCTTTTATAATATGCTTGAAATAGCACATTTTCAAATATGATACAGTGATCATCATATTAAAGGATGCTAATACCACATCCACCAGGAAGGTCAGGCGAGCTGAGCAGCAGCACCAGTGCTCCGTGAGACATTCAAGGACCATAGAGAGTGTAGGTCTCGTCTGCGATGGAATACACTTCAATACATTTGTCTGATGGCAAATAAACACAAATAGTTTGAACTGAAACTTATCCATTTGCTGCTGTTTTTGTGCTTATTCAGACTGACCACAATATATTTATTTACAATTAATGTTGAGAAGGGCACTTAACTTGGCGAAAAGGACGTGCCAGATTTTATGACAGGCCCTACTTTTCTAATCACTTTGTTCAATTGGGCCTTTGTATTTTTCTTTCACCTTTCACAGTCTGCTATTAGCCACCTTCTGGAACAAAGCTCAAAAGAAACATCACTGTGATGTGATGCATGCTGTATTGAGTCCCATTTTGTCTCCAGCATGACAGTATTGAAATTGTTTAGATAAATCTCACTGAACTGTTCATCTGACCTTCTCTAGTGTTGGCAAAGTAGGTACTATACTTCAGAACTCATTGTCTCGAAGTAGCTCATAACACTGTGTTCAGTTTCTCTACAGTTAGAACTATTAATCCCTCACATTAAATGTGCTGTTCTCAACATGTTATCGTGCTGCTGTTAACAAGATGGCCCTCTTGAGATTGTCACCAGGTACAAGAATTTAATGGTTGTGTGAATATTTCCAGTTCTACTTAGGTGCCAAAGACCCAAATGATGCCTTTTTAAAATGAGGGTATTCAGAAACGTTTCTTGTAAAGAAGGGGCTTCAAAAGGTGAGCAGTCAGTCGACTCTGTGTCATCCTGGACTTAATGGTTTTTAACAGTGTGCAAGACATTTTTAGAGCTGCAGCCCAAAATTTGCCCAAAATATACATATGCCTGCAAGTGGGGTTTAGAGAGACACCATGCAGAAGCTGCTTTTTGTCATGAAAGATGCATAGTTTCTATCTCTGAACTGTTTTCCTGAAATGATCCATAGGTATTACAGATATCATTGTGCCTTTATTATGGCATACTGTAGTCTCGGTGTATCAACAAAATAGTTTAACCTTACAACTGCCTCTTTCATCATCATAATTACTGAGCCATTAAACATTGCTTTGGCATTTTTCATGTTATTTTATGAGTGTGGTGTTTGCCTGTTTTTTTTTTTGTTTGTTGTTGTTGTTTTGGTATAGCTAAAGGGCATGTCAATCACACAGACAGTACTAGAATTAAACCAACTAAGAATGATTAAATTATCAGCTTCTCCTTCTTTTTCTATCTCTTAAAAATGAGAAAAGTAAAAAAAACAAAAACTAACCTGTGGGTGGAATCTGCACCTCCCTGACCTGCATTGTAGATGTATTGTTCCTGCAGGAGGCATTGACATATATTCTATGAGAGCTACAGCAAAAAAATCCCCTTATCTGAACAGTATTTTCGGTTGCAGCTCACTGTCCACTAAAGTTGACGAGCTACATGTTTGAAAGCTGTTTTCGGTGGTGGTGTGCTGCCTAACCACGTACAGCCAGGAAGCCTCTGGTATGGCCTTCAGTCGCCATTTGCTAAGTGCTTTCCTTAAAGTCAATCTGCTACTGTGCCTGTACTGTGTTGCATCAGATAATCTTGTCCTGAGAACATCCATCACCAGAATTTCATTACATTTGAGTCTGTGGCCAACAAATTTAACTCCTTTTCTTGATCACAGTTGCTGTCAGACATACAATTACAGGTCAAATGTCTCTCACATGGGTTTTAAGACATTGAAAAATGAGTATTTTCATTTTCGTGTCCCTAGCAGTTACCAGTGAAAAGGGCTGAGTGACAAATGATAACGAGTCATTTGACCCCCCCTCCCTTCCCGCTGATCTTTTGTATACTGGTGTGTGATAAGGTAGTCTCTGGCACAAGTTAATATCCCAAAAGCTCCTTATGAATGTGTGCTGTTTAATCCTTTAATCAAAACGCAGTTGGTGGTCTCATTTAATGAGTTAGTGAGCCATAGTTATATTAAGTAGGGTTTGACTAATACACTGTTTTTGAACTGATATTTTTAGAGGGAAGTTAATGATTTGTGATGATGCTCTACATCGGTAAAGTTGGCCATTTCATGACATGAAAGACACATATTCAGTGTTTTTACATGACTTGAATGTTGAAAATGGTAGTAGTAGATGTCTTTAGGTCCACAGCAAACACCTTACCTAATTCTTTCTAAGGGTAATAGTAGTATTTGCCATGAAAGTGAGTAGTGTGTGTGTGTGTGTGCGCAGCAGTAAGGTCCTGCTACTTGCATATCGCAGCAGACAGTAACACAGTCTTCGTTAGCGGTTGATTGTGACTAAATGTTTATATCAACGGTAGTAGTAGTAGTAATAGTAGTACACATGTGCATCAGTGTCTTTTCAATAGTCTAAAGTGTTTTCATCTGCTTCAAATTCCACATAAGTTTGATCCAATTCCAGCTCACTTTTCAGATCTTCCCAGATAATCCAATTGGAATAAATTGGAAAATTGTTTTGTTTTTTCAAGATCAAAAACTATTTCTCATTGCTTAGGCTAGGATTTGGAAATCAAATCCTATTTTTATTGATCTTTGCATGTGAGTTTTCATCACTCAAAGGCAAATAGTTTTGATGCTGAAAATCAGGGCACTCTTGATCCTACTTGAGAGGTGGTTTCAGGGTGGGTTTAGAGATGTGACAAATAACAGAGCTGTAACCAATAAAATGCCACCTATACCTCCTGAGTAGGAATTAAAATCACATTTAATTTTCCTGTTTTAGTCAACAAATCTGTCAAAACAGTTGGGACTGGCAACTGACGTGTGAAGGTCTGGGTGGGAGGTTCAAAATTGTTCACCCACAAAAGGGGGGCCTGAGCAGAAAATAATATTTGGGAACCACTGGCTTAAATAAATGCTGACTAAGTTGAGGTTTACTGACCTGTACTGACAGTTAGTCAAACCTGAATGAAAGTCTATAGAAGCTTCTAACTGACCACATGTAGCGGTCATGTTTTTGGAGTAATAAACAAAAGCTGCTGTTTATTATCTGGGGAAAAAATCCAAAAGAAATATCAATGTAGTTATTTTCCTTATTTGTCTGAAAACCAAATGTG